ATATATATATATATATATATATATATATATATATATATATATATATATATATATATATATATATATATATATATATATATATATATATATATATATATGTAAATACATATGTAAATACATATGATGATTTAGGTATGTGTTCTGGATATGACGTGATAATGTCCAAACAGGATAACATGGCTTAGCCCAGTTTGGATTGTACTAGACACACGAATTGATATAGCGGCCGTTTAATACAGAACATGCACCTAACTCTACGCCCGTAAATTGGCCTATATATTTGCACACAAATATCTTACATAGACCCACCATATTTCGTTTGGAGGTCCATGGAGCACCTGAAGACACCGCCAAAGGCTACATCCTCGCCAAACATGCACGCCGTATCATCGGTTGCCATTGCAATATCCATAGCACTGTTGATCGCTTGGAACATATTCGTGCGCTTAGTTTCACCAAACTCCTCGGGTGCGGTCTCTGATACAAACGTGGGCAACGCTTTGAGTGACCTACTTGTGTGGAATGATGCAGATGCACGCATGCCTAATCTGCTGTATACAGTCGCGCCGGTGGACTGCGCTAATCGCTGAGAGGTAAGCATAGTGATGGAGGAGCGTGCTTGATCTTTGAGAGTTGGGTTGAGGTGGGATCGAATACTCAGAGACGCACGTTGACTCCGCTGATTTAATTAAAAGCAGTCTTAAATATTTACCGTTCAACTACAAGTCAGTGTATGAGTGTTGAGACGTATTCTGATATACTTATATTGATATGTTAAAAACCTGGGAATTCATATCATAGAGTGAGAGAATTGCCCCGTGCCGCATATATCACAGCTTCTCACGGAGAATGTGATTAGGCGATCAACGCGATCGCAGAAAAACGTCCGTAGATGTTTTGATTGGATATCAAACCGTTGAGTAATAAATGGAACTAGATCCAAAAACTAATAAGGCAAAGGTTTGGGCAGTTCGGTACACGAATATCAAGTTATGGCTTGACTGGCGTCACGCATATATCATTTTTTTTAAATACATTTCGATAAAAAAACATAAACAAAAAAATCAACAAATATATGTAAAAATATGTACTGTAAATGCGAGTGTATTTTTAAAAAAGATTTACTTTTGAATATGTACTATGTAGTATTATTTTTTTAAAACAAATAAAATATGGACGGAATATTTTTGCCTCATAGCCTAAGAAGAAGGCAATATAAAGTATGTATTTTTTAAAAATAAAATAAATAAATAAATAAATATGATATGGTGCACAGCAGTATGTAATGAGAACCAGGTCGTTCTTCCTGACTTTCACCCCTAAATATTTACAAAACTAGCCGTTCTGTTAATGCCAAAAACCGTTGAGTTTCTAAAATCGGCATTCTTTAGTAGACGAAGGATATGCTATTTATGTATTTATTTATAATTTTACGTACTGATGTACTCTCGAGGATTCCCTGCCTGTGCCAAATTTGGAAGTAATTAGTAATAGCGCGGGAGGGAATTTATTGTATGTAGTGTTCTTTCTTGATATTGATGTTTGTATGTACGTGTGTATGTATGTATGTAAATATGTGTATACATGATCGAGTTACAAAACAAAATAGAAAGAAATAAAACACACGTGTCCGACCTAAATAACTATCCGTCCGTACAGAGTTGACCTCAAGTGACATCGAGAAAGACGACAATACTGTTAACGATATGGCAGAACTTATTGAAACTGTTAGGGAAGCAGCCACCTATGCAGTGTGCAATGGCATACTGATGACGAAGCTCAGGTAATGCTGTTATCACATCCATATATATAAATATATATATACACACACACACACACACATAT